GTTTTGTTTTGAAATTCATTGTGATAAAAATGCAGTATCATCTGTGTTTACGTTGAAATATGACTATTATAATTTTTCACGTGTAATTTTTATTGAAATTATTTATGAATTACGAAATTGAACCTTTTGTAGCAATTTTTTTTGAAAAATAAGGCCTCAAAATTTAAAAATTTGCATTTTCCATCCTGCAATTGAATTTCAGTCAATTTTTGAATGAATACAAAAAGCTAAAAAATTATAATAATAGAGAAGTAATTGAAATTTGACGTGGTATTACTATATACGTGTTTTTACTTCGTGTAAATAACTATAAAAGTCTCGAAGGATAAAAGTATTGAACTTCATAATTTAGTTGTTCACACTGATTTATTGTAATTTGCTTAAAAATTATCAGGTATTTATTTAAAATTATTTAATAAACTCTATTGCAATAATTATTTTCAATTCTTTAATTATAATTTTTCCCGAAATTTAGTTTAATTTAAATCTAGTAAATAGAAATTTAATGGAAAACTCGCATGACAATAATTAAATTAAATTTTGAAAAAAATTATAATAGTTCTTTATTAAATAATTTTATTTAAAAATCTGAGTAGTGTATAATAATATTAAATTAATTTGCTCAATGCAAATTATATAATTTTTGTTAATAATTTGTTTTAAATGCTTTTCAATTGCTAAAAGTTATACACAACTTATGTTTAATTAGGCATTTATTACTATTATACGTAGTGAAGCTGAAAAAGCAAATTTTGTATTCTAATACTTTATTTGTATAACTGCTATTTGCAGCTGTTTTAATTTGAAAGCTATTCACTATAGCTGTTGACCTTTAACTTTTTACTTGGTTACATTTTGAAAGTAATTTTTCAGAGATTCATATTTATTGACATTTTTTTAAACTTTAGATATTGCTTCAGAATTAATATTCATTCATTTTATTACTTTGTAAAATAAATTTGATACTAAAATAAAATAGTGCCTGCCTTAAGAATTTCCTGTTTTTCTTGTTTTGCTTCTTTCCATTTTTAATTATTATTAATTTTGATAATTAAAGTACTAAAAATATTCAAGTTTTTCTTGTTCATCTACATTGCTTTCATATTATTTCTTTCATTTTTCAGAATTATGATTGATTTTTTCACTTATTATTTTATGTTAATTTTTATATATTTATAATTTTTCTTAGTTACTTAAAAACTTAATAATAAATTAATGCAAAGTAAATTTTATTGCTCATTTATTCTTCAGTAATTTAAGTAATTACCAATGTCACAAGTCTCAACTGTCAAAAATTTGATTTTTAATAATTTAATATTTTAATATTATTTTATTTTGCAAATTTTATTGTTTGCAAATGCTGATTTTTGTTATTTTATTTCACAGATACTGATTTTTTTCACGTCAGATATGCTTTTTTATTCTTCCTTACTGCTTCATAATGGATGAATACAAAAAATGTTTCACATATATATTAAAGCCATCTTGTAAAATAATGGTTTTAAGTATTTTGACTTTAAAATAATGATAAGATTCGCGCTGTAATTTGTTTTAGCAATAAATTTGTACATCAAATAACAAATTTGTAATTTAAATTGTTATACTAATTAACAATATATTCTTGTTCAAAACTAAATCGCTAATTAACTAATCTGGTAGAAAGGATTACCAAACGAAACTTTATATTCTTAAAATTAGCTTATTTTTATTAAAGGAAAAAATGATAAATTGTTCATATATTACTTATTGAAATCAAGTTATCCTTTTTAAATAATTTTTATTTGAAAAGTAATTTACTGAGTAATTTTTTCACGACTTGAAAATTTTGGCTTTAATAAAACTGAATTTGATTATGTTTTTCGTTTTTTTTGTATGTTTTTTTCAAAACAGTTTTATTGTTTTTTTTGAATTGATTAAAATTAGTTTTGTTTTTTATTTCTGTTTGAAAATTTTTATTTCAGTCTCATATTTTTGTCACAGTAAACGAAAGAAAATTGCTTTTGTTTGGATATCTAAATTAGCAATAAATTTAATTGTGTTTAATGAAAATATTATTTTTAACAAAGTTAATTTGTAATTTTAATTATTTAAATTTTAAAATGGCAAAATTTATATTCCCAAATACAGGTATACTAATTAAAGACTGAATAGATTAGTGATAAAATTTGATTTTTTTAAATTCAAAAGTAAAAAATTTTGAAAAAATATCTAAATTGATAATTATATATAACGTGGACTATTTTATATTTGGTATTTTTAGCCACCAGTTAAATCAATTTTTCATATAAATTTTAACATTTTTTCTCAAAAATAAAATTTACAAAATTGTTTTGAATTTATGAAAATTTAAAAAATAACGAATAATGCATTGCGAAGATTTTATAATGCAAACTTTTTTCTATATTTCTGCTTTACGTAAAAATTTTGAATTTTATTTCTTTACTTTTTATATTTCTTACAAATATGTCTAATTTTGTTAATATTTTTCAAATTTTTAAAGACTTTTTAGTTGAGCAATTATAGATGTCCGTTGAAAGAAGTCATTATTTCTGTGGGAACTCAAATTTACTTAACAATTTTGTGCTCTTTGCCTTACTTTGGCATTAGTTCAGCCTAATTGTTGTGAGTAAAAAAAAAACTTTACTATTTACAATTTAAAAATAAGTAAAAA